CGTCCGTCGTCGGTCCTCTCTGGTCCCCCGCCGCCTCCGCGGTGCTCTGTTCTCTGTCGCTGCCCGCTGCTCTCCGGAGGGGTTGGCGCACCTCACCCTCGTGCTGTCAATGACTCACGGGGCTGCGTCGCCTCAGCCGGGGCCCCGTACGCCGCTGAGATGAGCGGGCCTAGGTAGCGGGCTCAGATCCGGACGGGCGGCGTGCCGCGACCCGGAGGTGCTGCCTGGAGCAGGATGATGCTCAAGATGCCTGCATGGAGCTGGCTCGCAAGGAGCACACCTATCCTTTTGCCCCCTCCCCGGTTTTTTAAGCGGTTAAATACCCCTGCAGAACGATGCTTCCTTAATTGCGCCTGGCCGCGCGGGCCAGTAGGTAGCGGGCTCAGATCCGGACGGGCGGCGTGCCGCGACCCGGAGGTGCTGCCTGGAGCAGGATGATGCTCAAGATGCCTGCATGGAGCTGGCTCGCAAGGAGCACACCTATCCTTTTGCCCCCTCCCCGGTTTTTTAAGCGGTTAAATACCCCTGCAGAACGATGCTTCCTTAATTGCGCCTGGCCGCGCGGGCCAGCGCCTGCCCGTTCGTTGTTAGCCTTTCGGAGCTGAAGAACTGGACGCTGGCTCAAAGGATGCCCGAGGAAGGGCAAGACGCCGCGTGCGGTCCCGGCACAGCTCGGCCGTTGCCTTTCGGCTTCGATCGCGAGCTGCCCGGCGGGGCCGACGGTCCCCGCTGCGTCTGACGTCGCTGTGCACCGTAGCGCTTGCTCTTCTCTGGGGAAATTTTTTTCCTCGTTATCTTGCATCAAGAAAAAAAACCTAACAAACAACCTATAGCCCGAGGTTGAAGGTGAAGTGGAGACTGGGAGCGAGCAGCGCTAATTTACGGGGAAAAAGACGTTGCAGGGATGAGGTAATTACTGCAAAACCCAGCAGCACGAACCCGGGTCCTCAGTCCTGGCAACGCTGGGAAGAAAACGCTTAGGAGGAAAAATACGGAGCGCGGGGACCCTTGCCAGCTTCGCCCTGCCGCGCCGCTGCCCGCGCAGCCGCGGCGTTGCGTTAAGACCAGTTAGCGTTTGCTAACGACCCGAGATTTCCTTCCCCTTTTGGTCACTTCCCAGCCGGGCACCTCGGCGCGGCGACGGGCACCGCTGCGCC